AGCAAGGCTACTGGGCAGAAATTCTCATGGAACTGGAACATAAAGAATTATATAAAGAATCACAAGAGGAGCCATATTTGCAGGAAGCAGTATGACTCTGTAGCAGCACAGAAGGAGAGAAAGTGTGAGTTGAGAACAACAGCATGAAGACGGTCACATTTCTCCCCACCATAGGAACTTCTTTCTTGTAAATTGCTGTCCAGAAAAGTCTCACTAATTGGCTGATGAACAACCATAACATTAATACAAAGATGTTGTTAGACAAAAAGCAGAAAAAGAGTAGAAATTTTACTAACAGCTAAAAAAACACACAGTAGATAAATGATGGCACAAATTGAAAAATGTGAGCAAATATTTTGTTACAAATTTTTAAAACTGCAATGAAGCCCTTACCTCCATGAAGGAAGTGATAATGTTTATGAAGGACAATGATGCACAAATACCGTAACTCAAGGCAGAGGAAGAGAACGATGTATATGTATTCCAATGTACTGATATGGAAATGTATTCGAGATGTATTGTTAAGTGAGAAAATTAAGATGTAGCAAACAGGTATAGAATGTTGCCATTTAGGTATAAAAACAGAGGGAAAAGTATTCCTACAAGTACAGTATTTTCTAACTGTATATCCAAAATGAAACTCTAAGAGGTACACAAGGAACAGTTAACGGTGGCTTCACGCTGGAGCAGGAGGAGGGGAATGAATGGGGTCTGGCACCGGGATGAAGACTTTTCACTGTAAGCCTTTTTTTTTTTTGGCGGTACGCAGGCGTCTCACCACTGTGGCCTCTCCCGTTGCGGAGCACAGGCTCCGGACACGCAGGCTCGGCGGCCGTGGCTCACAGGCCCAGCCGCTCCACGGCATGTGGGATCTTCCCGGACCGGGGCACGAACCCGTGTCCCCTGCATTGGCAGGCGGACTCTCAACCACTGTGCCACCAGGGAAGCCCACTGTAAGCCTTTTTGTACATTTCTGTTGTGTACAGTGTAACTATATTATCTATTAAAAAATTAAACAGCCATTTAGGGAGATAGAAAGTTATGAAAACTAGAGATATAGTATAGTTTCACAAAAGAATAGTGATAGCTGTGTCCAATTACTTTCATTTCCCTTTGTGGCAGTGTTATTGGACTGGGCAATGAGGGTGAAACTAGAGGTTAAGCTCATCTGGAATCACATTCAATAAAGGTTGGTTCACATTTCCTCTGGCCTGGATGGAGGAATGTGGGCTGGATATGAGCACAGGTGGAGGCATTTTGAGCTGCTTCCAGGCCAGATCCAAAGGGTGTAGATTAGGCTATGCAAATTTTTAAAATTTTTTTGGGGGGGGCTTTATTGAGACATAATTGAGATATAACGTTGTGTAAGTTTAAGGTAAACAACACATTGATTTGATACACTTACATATTCCAAAATGATTCCCACCATAGCATTAGCCAACACCTCCATCATTTCACATAATTACCATTTCTTTTTTTCTTGTGAGAACACTGAAGATCTACTCTCTTAGCAACTTTCAAGTATATAATACAGTATTATTAACTATAACCACCATGCTGTACCTTAAATACCCAGAACTTATTTGTCTTATTTCTAACACAGCTTTATATTAATTGTGGAACAGGCCTCTGAATCAATATCTTATTTATTTTATATTTTAAATTATACAGTACAGTTGACTGCCGCCCCCCTTTTTGCTGTACAGTTCTGTGAATTTGAACACATGTATAGATTTATGTAAATACTGCCACCACAATCAGGATGTTATTATTCCTTTGCAGTCACACTGTCTCCCCACCCATAACCCCTGGCAACCACTGATCTGCCTCCATCACTATAGTTTTGTCTTTTCAAGAAAGTCATACATATGGGATCATACAGTATGTAACATATTAAGACCGGCTTCTTTTGCTCAGGATAATTAGGCTATGCAAATTTTGAAGGAAGGTTTACACCCCGGGCCTCTCTCTGCTTAATAATTTTTAAATAAAAGTTTGCCTATTAAATTTGCAAATGATACAAAATGGTAGGACTCACTAACATGCTACCCCCCCAAAATTTTTTAAGTAAGTAAGATAATCCATTGGCTCTAGTAAGGATCTAAAAACAGCATGATAAATGCATAAGCGGAATAAATACAGAAACTTGAATTGAAGCTGACAAAAATCAGCTGCATACTAGAAGGGAGAAATGACTTAAAGGTCATGTAAAAATATACTTTTTGCTTTTAATAATCTAAACACTCAAGTCAAATGGCCCCTAACTTAACTTAAACTTTAACAGCAGCGTTCACTGTCGATTTGTAGCCAGCACTTGCCAGGACATGTATGCTGTCCTGTATTTAGTTTTGGAGAACTATTTTATTTTATTTTGTTTTTAAACATCTTTATTGGAGTATAATTGCTTTACAATGGTGTTCGTTTCTGCTTTATAACAAAGTGAATCAGCTATACATATACATATATCCCCATATCCCCTCCCTCTTGCGTCTCCCTCCCTCCCACCCCTCTAGGTGGTCACAAAGCACCGAGCTGATCTCCCTGTGCTATGCGGCTGCTTCCCACCAGCTATCTATTTTACATTTGGTAGTGTATATATGTCCATGCCACTCTCTCACTTCGTCCCAGCTTACCCTTCCCCTTCCCTGTGTCCTCAAGTCCATTCTCTGCATCTGCGTCTTGATTCCTGTCCTGCCTCTAGGTTCTTCAGAAACCTTTTTTTTTTTTTTAAGATTCCATATAGATGTGTTAGCATACGGTATTTGTTTTTCTCTTTCTGACTTACTTCGCTCTGTATGACAGTCTCTAGGTCCATCCACCTCACTACAAATAACTCAATTTCATTTCTTTTTATGGACAATATCCCATTGTATATATGTGCCACATCTTCTTTATCCATTCATCTGTTGATGGACACCTAGGTTGCTTCCATGTCCTGGCTATTGTAAATAATGCTGCAATGAACATTGTGGTACATGACGCTTTTTGAATTATGGTTTTCTCAGGGTGTATGCCCAGTAGTGGGATTGCTGGGTCGTATGGAAGTTCTATTTTTAGTTTCTTAAGGAACCTCCATACTGTTCTCCATAGTGGCTGTATCAATTTACATTCCCACCAACAGTGCAAGAGGGTTCCCTTTTCTGGAGAACTATTTTAAAGGGGACATTGAGACCCTGCGTATTTCCAGAGGGAAGGACTTAGAATTTTAAACTATTTCAAAATCACTCTTATAGGAGGGAGGACTTGAGGATGTGAGCCTGAGGACAGGGAGACCAAGAGTATATTCGGTAAGATGCTCCTAATACTTGAACAACTGCCATTTGGAGGCTGGAACAGACCTATTTCTTTTGAATTCAGAAACATAACTAAGATCAATGAGTTGAATCTACAGGAAGTATCAATAGATCTGTGATCAACAGCAAGAATAATTTTTTAATAATTAAAGATGTCTAAAGTAGAAGAAAGTAGTCAACAGTCAATGACTATATGGAAAGTCATAACCTTATAAGTAATTAAAGAATTATAAACCAAAACAACCAGATGCAACTTTAAACACTTATTTCGGAGTCTATTGGATTTGCAAAAGCCATAGAGACAGTTATCATCCAGTTTCAGGAGAGACGTGGAGAAAAGAGTTTGCTTATCTGTTGCTGGTATGAGTGGAAATTGGTGCAGTCACTGAGAAAGGTAGGATCTAGTAGACTGTAACATGTACCTACCCTTTGATCCAGCATTTCTATTTTTAGGCCCCTCATTTAGAAATATTCATGTCACTGTGCAAGCTCTACGTTCAAGGATACTTAGTGCAGAATTTTTTGCAATGGCCAAAAAAAAAAAAATTGGAAGCAACCTAAATGTCAGTGAATCAGGGATTTTTAAAAAGACCTTATGGTATATCCATGTCCTTGGCTGTTCTGCACTTATGAAAAGAACAAAGCAGATCTATCTGTACAGATTTAGGACTTATTACTAAGCGAAAACTTAAGTTGCAGACTGCTAGTGTAACCTTCCTATAAAACAATAACAACTCTACAACGATGTTTTTGCTGGTACATGCACCAAAAATGACTTGAAAGGATAAAGACTAAGGGCTCACATCTGGGGGATGGGGTGAGGGTGGGAGCATGGCTGGACTCTAGACACTTTTGTAGTTTTCAACTTACATGTGAACATGTTTGGTTTTTGTCATGAAAAAAATAAAGACTTTAAAAGTGGAAGGGTTGATTGGTGAGGTAGTGAGCTCTCTGTCACTGGAGTGTTTAAGCACAGGTCCAAGGAAGGTGGTGGGGGTGGGAGTGCCGGTAGGGAGGGAAGAAAGTTGGATGAGATGACCTCTGAGTACCCGTAATATCCTGAGAGTCCTTGAGCTCCTCTATGCCTTTCTCCGCTAATTCACCCAGGAAAAGCTCCAACAAGATGAAAGAAAATAGAGCCTTCTAAAAATGAGGTAAGTCAAAGTATTCACTGCTGAGACCTCGTGAGTCCATTACCAGAGAGAAGCAGCCGGTCCTGCCTCACACACCATGAACCACCCCTGCAGTACTTTCCCCCTGCAGTACAGATCGATTTCCCAGTACTAAATTTGGGGATGTGTGGCTAGACAGATGGAAGTAAGGCCAGGAAGCTGACGTGGGTTTTAGAGCGCTTGATAATTCAAGTCTTTGGCAAGTGCTCCCATAAGCTGATGGATTTCTTTCCTTCCTTCCTTCCTTCCTTCCTTCCTTCATCCCTCCCTCCCTCCCTCCCTCTCCCTCTGCAGTCAGGTGGGGAACACTGCCCTTGACTTATCTTAAGTTTTTCTTCCTGGCCGTGCTCAGTGCAAGGTGACGTGTGCCCTGCAGGCTTTGAGGCTGAGGGCATCTCAGCAAACTCAGCCAGGCCTCTGTAAAGGCTGCTGTCCATTTCTGGTGCTGGAGTCTCAGGGCCCTGCCAGCTTCCTCTCGCTCCCACCTGTCAGCGCCCAGGAAACAGGCGGGATCCGTCGGTACTCTCCTGCTTACCGTTTATTGGCCACAAACAGCACTCTCCCTGAGAGGGTCTCTCCTTCCTTGGCAAAGAGAGGAGTCTGAAGAAGGCACCGCACCTGATACCAGTGAGTCAGAGGCTCAGTGGGCGCTGTTGACAGCCAAACTGTGACCCTGTGGGGCAAGGCAAGAGTTAAAAGCCAGTTAGGCTCCAGGCCCACATTAATGGATTGAACTGGGGACAAGTGGTTTTCATTGTGTATTAACTCATGGAACACTTTTAAGATGCGAATAGCTCAATTTATTGAGCAGTTACTATGTGCTGGGTACAGTGCCAAGAGCATTATGTAATTAGCCCATTAAATCCTACAACAACCCTACGGAGTCAGGCCAGGCTTCAAACCCAGGCACTTGGTCACTCTATCAATCTGTATGGCTATGTCAAAGTTCATTAGAAGCCTGATAACAGCAGAGTTAAATTGGGAATTGATTTGTTGGAAAAGTCTGGCAGGGTGAGAAGTCTGGAGTGTAGCCTCTTACTGTCTCATGCCCACCTGTTCAGGGGTCCTGATGGGGTTTCTGGAAGCAAGAAAAACTACGGGGGCAGATGGCCTCTACTGCCCTTCAAGCCCGGACATTGTGTGTGTGTCTGTGTGTGTGTGCGTGTGCGTGTGCGTGTGCATGTGTGTGTGTGTGTGTGTGGACATTGTGTGTGTGTGTTCAAGTTGATGTTTTTCATTTCATATGAAGACGTGGGGACACCCTGCTGGTGCTTTGAATGCTAGGGTCACCTGTCCTGCGATTAGGCAGTGGTCATGGGCTTGCAGGTAGTAAGGTGCACACTGAACACGGGGAAAATTGCTAGAGAGGACATTTTGCCTTGAAGATTTTCGGGGGGTAATTTTATATAATTTAACTGCTAAGTAATATAAACCACCTTTATATCAAAATATATATTCAGCTGTATTACGGAGTAGAATGCAAATGTTCTACAGCTTTTTAAGACAAAGCATTTAACTTCAAAGAGATTTCCCCCTTGAAGCAGGCGGCTTCACGCTTATCTCCCTTACGCTTGCAGAACAAATTCGTTTACTTGGGATGTTAGTGGGGGAGAGTCTGAGAAATAGATGCACAGATTCCTTGAACACACATGCTGTGTGGAATAGGAATGACTCGTACATTGTTTCCTTTCTCTCTGATTGTCAGCCCACACAAGGCTTCCAGGGATCCCAGCCTCCCCTGAGTCCCCCAAGCCCCCTGAGCTGCATCACAGACCCAAAGACACATCTTTCTCAGTAGATGCTATGGAGAGCCTGGATGTTTTTATAAGAAGTGGAGGAGAGTGTACTGTCAGTTTTCCTTCTGCCTGGTCGCGTGGCCCAGATCAACCCTCACTGCTAGCTGGGACACATGGAGAAGCCTGGGAAGAGAGCAGGGGTGTCAGGAGGAGAGCAGAGACTTGGGGTTCATAGGAGCAGCGCAGCCCTTAAAAGCACACCCAACACTGACAGTCAACTAGTAGGTGGTCTCTCCCCTACAACTTGCAAACCTTTCCAGTAGGGGAGAGAGGAGTGCACAGAGGGGGAAGTTACCTAATGCCGCCTGCCTGATCATTGAAAAAGGATTCTAGATCGTGAAATGGAAACCTGTGAACCAACATGGGGGAAAGTATGATTTGAGATATGACTCAGACACAAGAGGTTCTATAACTAGGTGTGATGGAAACAATGCCAGGGGCTGGCCTCCCCCATGCCCCCATCTATTGTGGAAAAGAACAGGCTGGTTGATAAAGCACAGGCCCTCTTCTGACTCCTCCAAAGCCCAACACAACTGGCCTAAGAGTATTTTAGCCAGAATTGATATGGCAACTACGGAAAACTGTCTTATTTTCATTTCACTCTAAAATCTAAAAGTAACATTAACATCAGTGTTTATTTTCTGGAAATGTGGAGAAACAAATATTACGGCTGTTGAGCTTAGTTTTTTAAAACCTTTAAAGTTATGGGGACAAATAGCAGAGGATGGCATGGGAGAGAGTAGGTAAGGAAGGGGTATGATACCTACAGAGAGCCAACAAAGGCCACGTCGAACCAGAATGCCAGGCCGTGGATGAGGCCAGACTGCGCAATCTGAAACACAAACGGAATTTCTACTCTGCAAGGAAATAAAGAAAAAGAAAGAAAAAAAGAAACACTTGGAATTATTGTTGTTGTTGTTGACAGACATAATGGATACACTTGTGAGATCAGTGGGAACATTCACAGAACATTTTCTTTTTCTCTTAAGCGCTCTTGCTTTGGCAGCAAGATTCCCTTAGTGGGTGATTAATGCTTGGGTGATGTTGCACATTTGAGAATGCTGCTTCTTGATGAAACTCTGCAAGGACCAGCCCACTGTGCTGCAGTGACCCAGAACTCCACAGGGCGAGTGCAGCATCCGGAGCTGGGTTGGACCACTGAACAGGAGGATGACTCAGGACATAGCTGACAACCGTCCTTCCAGAAGCCAAAACATGGGCTGTGGCAGCTCCCCTATGCAGCTGTTCAGAAGGGAAAGGCTGCTCAGGCCCCTAAAAGATGAAATGGACCACAAGGGGGGAACATCAATCTCAGAAGGTCACTGTCATAGTTCATTTATTTTTCAGGGAGGCAATTTAACTTCCCACCAGGCTACAGCAAGAGTCATGCAGAAGTGGCCATCGCTGATGCCAAATGCAGAGTAAGTTGGAAGAGAAAGAATGTTGGAAAAGATACAACGAAATCTACAAGCTGGACCTGTTTTAGCTGTGGAGCTTTGGTAAGTCACTTAATTCTCTGAGCCTCAGTTTCCTCTTTTGTTGAAGAGGGCAAAATCTCTCTTCTACTTCCCTGTCACGGTTCTTGTGTGTGTCAAGTGGGAAAAAATGTATATGAGAGTGCTTTGTAAATTTCAAAGTATTCCACAATTAAAAGATGATATTATTGGTCCACTGCTGGGGCTGTACTGCTCCAGGGAGACACATTTTAGTGAATGTGCTAGAGATTTTCAAAGGAAAATGTTATTTTTAAGATTATTTGCATTTATGGTGCCTCCAAAGGCCTAACTTCTTCTACCCTGCAGTAGTCAAGAGCATTTCTAGAGTTTTCCATTATACTTGTCACATTGAATTTGTTTGTTAATGCACTGTAATTATTTCCTCCCACTTTTGGAATTCCCCTAAACAGACCATGAGCTCCTCAACGAGAGACTTAAGAAATTACTTAATGTATCTGTGCAAGCACCAGTACAGCACCCAGCACAAAGTAGAATCTTAACAAACATTTGCTGAATCAATGCAACAAATGAATGAATGACAGCTCTGAAACGCCAACAAAGACATAATTTTCAAAAAATTCCCTGACTCAGGAGGCAGCTCAGAGCAGCAAATAAAGCCAATGGAAGTCAATTTTGTCTTGACCTGTGGCAGTAATTAGACTTGTTCCCAAATGCCACTTCTCTTGCTCTGAGCACACAGCAGTATTGCATTCATCCACCCTCTTGTGCTTAGGTAGTGCCACGTCATTTGCTTTGACCAATTAAATGTGAACAGAAGTGAGCTGTGTCATTTTGGGCAGAAGCTTTTACTGTCAGTACATGCTTTGCCATGCTCTTTCTTCTTCCTCAGTAATCAGCCTTGTTACAGACAGAGGCTGCTGCACCAGCCTGATGGCTGGGGTTGGCAATGCTGCATGGAGCTAAAGCTGGTGCACATGAATAAAACAGTGTAGGGGAGAAAGGCCCCTGTGTTATCATAAGTCACTGAAGTTTGGTTTTGTTACTGCAGCATGCTCTAGCCAATCCTGACTGACAGAGCATCCTTTGTCCATCATGATCTCAAGATAGGTGATGGTTTGAGTTAGCCAGCTGTACCTTCTGAAGTCTGACTCTTGCTTCCTCGGTAGTCCAGGCAAATTATAACCTAGCTGGGTCTTACATTTCTTACCCAGAAAAAAATACAAATATCAATCTTCTCAGGCAGAAAAGGGTAAAATACTAATGAAAGGTCATCCGAAGGGGATTCATATCACCACCTGAGAAATGAGTCTTCATTTCAGAGTCTCTTCAAGTGGAAAAAAGAGGGCAAAAACTAACACTTACTGAGGGCCCTCTTTGAAAATGAGCCAGTGCGTGTGAAATTCTTAGCATGTTACCTACTATGTAGTAAGCACTCAACAAGGTGTAGCTCCTCTTCCGGTCATTATTGTGGTACTGGCCTGGGTGAGTGGTTAAAAAGCCCAGACTCTGGCCTTCTGAAAGGTTCAATACTCCCTCTAACACACATATTAATTCTGTGCATTTTACATAATTCTGTGTATGCAACTTACTGTTCCACTCTGCTTCATTGCTGTCATTGGTGAAGTGGGGACAAAAACAGTACCACCTGCATAGGGTTGCTGTGAGGATTAAATGAGTCATTATGTGTAAAGGGCTCAGAACAGTGTCTAGCTATGTTAGCATTAGCTACTACTATCTAATTTTTCTCATTCAATTCCTAAAGCAATCCTATGAAGGAGGCATCGTTTCCCTCATTTTGCAATAAATGAAACTAGTAATTGATGGACCATTCCTGTGTGTGACTCACACCTGAAATCTCTTCCCTGTGTGAGCTGTGGAACTCTGTCCTGAAGTTTGGGGGATGGGGGAGGGTAGAGGAGATTTTAAAAATCAAGAGCAACATTGGTTGGTACCAACCTGTGGAGATCTGCCTCTTCTGCATCCATAAAGTTTACTGTGTACTTGACTGTCCGAGCCATCAAAATCCTAATGTCAAATGTGTCCTTGGGGAAAAAAACCAGATACCTTTCTATCAGAATAAACTGAACTCAAACAAGATTGCAGTCTAGCTTTCCTCCCAAAATTTTAAGTCAACAAGAGTTAGAATTTAGAGGGCATGAGCTTCATGAGTAATGATATTAATAATAAAAGCTCACAATTATTTCGTAAGCGCTTTATTTAGTAAGTGCTTTACTAGGTTATATCATTTAAACCTCACCAACGACTCTGGAGCAGGCATTTGGTGGTTTTTGGACCATCCAGAATTTACCTCCTCTCGACACTACGAGAAGTTCCATAGGAATTCAGTCTACCATCAGCTCCAGGTGTGGCCTATGACCTCAGATTGGCCAACGAAGAACATTACTTTTCCCCTGAAGACAGGAATTGGCTCACAGATGGACGCAGGACCCAAGGTAGGACAAGCAGGCTCTATCTAAACTAATTCTGGGGGTTTTGCCAAAGTTATTAGGAAAAGGCAGGCTCTCCTGTGGGACTCAGAGTTGTAAGAATCTGAAGCTGTAGCTTCTGCTGCCATCTTGCTACCATAAGGAGAGATCCTGTCTAGGAACAGAGTAAAACCAGAGGAAATGGAGATAAGTGATGAGAATAGAAAAACCAGACCATTGTGACACTGTCTGAACTCCTGCAACAGGTCCCTGAAGCAAGCTCTGTCTCCAGGCTTTGCAATATTTGAGGACCAATAATTTCATTTTAGTTTAAGCCAGTTTGAGTTGGGTTTCCTTCCACTTAAAACTGAAAGAGTTTCAGATAATGCAAACTTAAGTTGCCTAAGGTTACACAGCTAGATGGGACCACAACTGAAACCCAAATCTGTCTGACAACAAAACTCCTGTTCCAAGCTATTTATTATCCAAAGCTTCCCCTTTTATTATGCCTTGGGCCACTGGAATCAATGGGAGGATGTGAATTATTGAACAAGTATGAGGGCTGAGTATGTGCATGGGGTGAGTCAGGACAGGTGTAGAAGCAGAAGTTACTTACTGAAGGGCACACGGAAAATCTCCTTGCTTTCAACAGTATCATTCTCTGAGAATTCTCCTAATTGCTCGGGAGATCAGAGCTGGAAAACTTGAAACATAGTGCTCCAAGGAGCTCTTTCTTTGCTTCTGTGATGGCTTAGCACAGAGCCTGAGAGCACAGTGCGTCCCGGGTGCCTGAGTTAGTAAGTGAATGAATCAATAGATAAACACATGGGAAGAAAGAACACACTTACTACTATTGGCTGTCTGAAGTATTCGTCCACCGCAGCACCCTGGAGACTGGACAGGTTAACCCCATAGAAACACTGCTGGTACCTAAAACAGGTAGCACGAAAAATCAGCATGTATCTGTCCTGCGTCCCCAAGACCCACAGAGCTGTGATGCGCTGCGAGGCTGCCTCACTGGTCCTCTAAGTTAGCCCTGGAGCAAGTGTGAGAAAGTGTGAAGGGCAAGGGGTAGATTAGAGGAAGAAACCTCTCTAGAGAATCTGCACTTGAACTGGGGTGGGGAGAGAAGGGAGGAGGTAGCTGAGATGGAGGAAATTACTTGTGGGGAGAATACTGACAGGGATATTTGGGGGCAGGAAGGCCTTAGGGTCCCCACCCTTGACCTCACACCACAAGGTGGCTGCCTGCTCCAGGACATGCCTTCCATGTCGCGAAATACAATTCCTTGGCCCTCTCATTATCTCAACCCAGAGCACAACTTGAGATCTCCAAAGCCTCTTGATACTCCCCCAACTGTTTTAGGAAACAGATTTCCCCTTTCTGTTCTTCCATAGCCACTGGCCTGCACCTTGCTGGCATTTGCCATGGTGGCCAACACCACTTAGAGTCACAAGTCAGTGACAGCTGTGTCTGGTGGTGAACTGGAGCTGACTCATCACTGGGCACATTTCTTCCCAATTCTGTGGTCAGGGACATCTGGACCACAGAAATGGACAAATTCTACAAGTGCTTCCTCCCCTCACTGAGCCAGATGTGAAGCGTCTACCGGCACATGACTGGTGCCTGGAGCACAGCAAGAACTCCCTGCCAGCTTGGCTAATGGTCTTGGCTCTTTACAGAGGTCTAGGGTGTGCATTAAGAGTGGCTTTGTTCACACTCTGCCACTGACTGACTGTGTGCAGTGGGCAAGTCACCTGAACTCTGTGCTTCCGTTTCCGTATCTCTAAAATGGGAATAATTATAAGCTGACTTTGTAGGGTTTCAGTAAGGGTTAAATGAGTTACTATAAGTAAAGCACTTTAAGCAGTGCTGGGCATTTCGTTACTACTACATAAGTGTTGGCTATTATTCCCTGAACTTCACCTTCTCAGATCAGCATTGTGCACTAGGGCAGTGCTTCCCAGTGTGACTGCGCCATGGGACTACTTGGAGAGCTTGTTAAAAATTCCAATTCCCAGGCCCAACTCCAGAAAGGCTTGGGGCCCTTATCACTAGAGGCCGAAGGCCTTTATCCCTAGATTGAAAAGAGTTTTCCCTACTAAGGGTGTGTGTGCACATGCTGTATATAGTCTGTGAATCAAATGGAAATTCAATTCATCAGTGTCTATCCTCCCACACCCCTACACCTGCTGACCTGCAGGGAAAAGAGAGAAAAAAGACATAGAATAATCATAAAAACTGGGGGCGTGCAGTTAGATTTTCAAAGTAAGCCTCTTAATCAGGAGGCGATGCCTCAGAGGCCCTCACGAGAGGCAGGGAGGCCTAATATTGTTAAGTCAACAGTTAGTCGCCAACCTGCAAGCAAAACACCATCCCCCAGAGCCTCTTACAGATCCTGAAGGGCTTATACCATTTCTCACCTCTGAGCCTTTGCCTATTTTCCCTCCTGCCTAGAATGCTCCTTTCCTTCTATTGCCCTATTAATTCCTACTCAATCTTTGTGACTCAGCTCAAATATTTCCATTTGAAAATGTAAAACCTGGTATTACAATTAAATATTCAAGTTTTAGGCACTTAAAAGCAGAAGTTATTCTTTTTCTTTCAGTGTATATTTAGCACTTAGCATGGGGCCTCGAATACTATTAGGGCTAAAGATATCTACGTATCTATCTATGCATTTAATGAATGAACGGAGAACTTGGTGTCCTAAATGGCCCTGTGTGTGGGCACTGGTGCCAATAAGGACAATGGGGAAAGAGAAAATCATTCGCCAAAGTTTCTTTGGCTTCATCTCATTTCCTAATCTCCTTCCATCAAGGGCCAGAGCCAGGCTTTCCACAGGTAAAGCCAAACTGCTGTACATCACTTTATAAGTACACATTTTGAAAACAAGACTCCTATAATCCTAGAAAATGTTTGGAAACAGAACACTGTAAGTTTAGACGATCTTTTCAGTATTTAGAAAGAGAATGGAAGCTTTCTTGGGGAAGTAAGTCATTATCACAAAATTTTTTATTGGAGGGAAGGGGGGAGAGAGCGGGAAGGGGAAGAGAGGAGAGGGGTGGGAGGGAAGAAGGGGTGAAGACAGGCAAGGGGAGAGGAGTGGAGGGTCAGACAGAGACAGAGAACTTCCCAGAAAGCCCAGAAGGACTCAACCTTGACTGTCCTTGAGAATCCCCTAGAAAGCTTTTAAAAAGTGTTGATGCCTGGACTGCATCCCCCAAGTTGTGATTTATTTGATCTGGGGGTGTGGCCCTAGCACTTGTTTCCAAAGCTCAACAGGTGATTCTAATGCACGATCAGGGTTGAAGACGACTAAGTTAGCTGTTCTAGAATCCTGGCCAAGTAGGTGAAAGAGAAAATCCCAAAGGCAAAGACAGCCCTCCACCTGGCAGTGGCGGAGGCTGGGAACTGCGCTCTATTCTCTGTGTACTGGAGTCTTTGCATTCAACATCAGCTCTGAGAGGGGCCCAGGATGTGCCATTCCCTTTGTGTGTTCACTGCCAATTAAAACCCAGCAGCCAAGATCAGTGTGGTGCAAACGGGCACCATTCCTGGGGCAGACGGAGAGCTGTAGGCAAAGAGCCCACTCCCTGGGTTTTAAAAACTTTCTGGCTGGACCATACTTCCATTTCTTAGAAATCTCAAATCTCCTTCTGAAATGCATCATAAAATAATGAAAGCAGATGGGAGGTGGCACCTTTCTGGGTTTCCTAAGATACACTGCTGGGGGATGGATCAGGAAATGAATCTGTTGACTTGGAAGCTGGGGATAAGTTCCATTGTTCTCATCGTATGTGGGTTTTATTTTCCACGTTAGCTTATGGCCTCTTTATGAGCGCATAAGGAGGAGTCTACATGCATGTTTTTCTCTTGACTTCAAATTTCAAGTGTACCTCCCTCTTCCTCTCCTCCTTCTCCACCGTAAGACATGCAACATCTGAAAAATCCTGCAAATACAGTCCAGAAGGAAAACAATCTTACAATAGCTACACCTGAACACACCCAGAGTACAGCAAAAGAGGCCACCTATTTACCATCCCATCAGCCTCTCCATGGTCTCCATGCAGAGCTGAGCTTGGAGAAGCATGCAGGGGAATCCTCCCTCTTGGGTCTCTTTTGTTTTTGTCTCTCCTCTAGCTCACCTTGGTCTTTTGTCCTTCCTCCTCCCACAGTGTCCTGGATCTGTCTTAGAAGGATGGTGGTACTGCCCGAGGTTCTCTTGCAGAAGTTAACAGTGGGGGGTTTCTCTAACACACACACTCCTTTGTCTTGCTAATATGAACCACACTCTCGTAGCATAACTCAGATGTTTGACTGTAATAAAAATCTTTCAGAAACTAACACAACATTGTAAATCAACTAGACTCCAATAAAAATTTTTTTTTATATCTTTGCTTCCTCATTCTATTCTAACAAAAAAATTCACTCATCCCCATTAAATACTTCCTTCCTTTAAAAAGGCCAAAAAAAGAGAGAGAGAAGGAAGAAAAGTTAAGGGAGGAAGGAAAATCCTATTCTGCTGTTTGACAATTAAGCAACTTTTGGGTATCTTAATGGAATATGTTCTACCAGAATTAACAACCAGTGATATGCCAACCTGAGGAGAGACATATATAACCCTAAGAACTAGGAAACAAAAACGAGGATCCAAAAACGTCACCTAAGCCGCACACGATGCTGAGGATGCAGCGTAAGAGGGTTGCTGGAATGGCCTGCTGGGAATGCCTGGTAGGAGAAGGATGCATGCCTAGAAACAAACTGCAACTTTGTTTTATTTCTTATACATTCCTTTTATATAGCAGGACTTGAAGCTTGGCTCTTTTTAACAATTTTCTGCATCAACAGCATGCAGACATACCATTCTGTAAAGCGGTATCTATAAAGATGCTCAGCTCATTATGTCTCTGGTTTTGCTGGCTTAAACCCTAGCAAAGTGGCTTATATTTTACATGGGCTATATTTATATGCTTTTTTATTTGTAAAAATAGGGTTTTTTTAGTATAAAGGAGAAAGGGAAATGGGTGCAGAGGCCTTAAAAGAAATCAAGCTTCAGACTGCCTCTTTCATTAAGAAAGGGAAAGCCTGGGATTCTGTAAAGGAATCCATGGGGCACCCCTCGGTGTACCAACATAAATCTAGACATTACCGGTTTGTATAAGAATTGGACCTATGGAAATGGATCAGAAGAAAAAGTGGATCAGTCAAGACAACTATGGTGGACATCTTTTGTTCATTCTACCCAGCAAAGAGTTGCTCTTCTTCTGATTACGGCACCAGATTTTCTTCTGAGAGGCACTTCTTCCTCACTCTCAGTTCTTGGGGTTTGGCTGGTTTGACTCTGACTCTGCCCTCAGCAATAAATTCTGGCATGTAGCTGAGTTGTAGCCAATCAGAGTGTCTTATCTCTCTGGCCTTAATGATGGACTCAGGGTTAAGCATGTGACCCAAGGAAAGTCAAGTCTAAGACTTTTGTTCAAACTGTTGCAACAGAGAAGTGGACATGGAGCTATGAGTCTATAAATCTGGATTTGCTGGAAACCACATTGCTGCTATGAGGGAAGAGCCCTATCCAAGAATGGAGCTGAGCTAAGGGATAGAGAGAGACCTGGACCCAATAAGTGTCTGTGCCCTGGAAGCCATTTGTGCCTGAGAAGCTGAATCTACTCAGGCTTTTCAGATACGTTAGTCAAAAATATCCTTTTTTTTAAGCCATTTTAAAATTCTTTCTTTTGTCACTTAAAACCATAAGTGCCTTAAGTAAAAAGAAAACAGTTAATAAGAGTGTGCCATTATGTGTGCTATGAATATAATTCTGATGAATAGTTTTGCCTAATTCAGGGGAGTCCTAATTCTGTGAGTACAGAACTAAAGTGCTTTAGCTTAAGAGTGTATAGAACCAGGCCCAGGGATGATGAAGTGATGTC